CGGGCGCCACCTCCCCGCCCCAGAGCTTCGTCCGGGATGGGCTGGGCTATGTGCTGGGGGCCCTGGAGCACGAGGCCACCCTCTCGGGCCTGTATGAGGAGAGCAGCGAGGAGGAGGCGGCAGATGATGGGCGCCTAGATGAGGATGAAGAGAAGGATGAAGAGGAGGAGGATCTAGATATGGAATCCCTCGATGGTGCTCAGGAGGGGGAGTTCCAGGAGGAGGAAGATGAGGAGGTGAGCATGGAGGACACTTCAGAAACCTCAGAGGAGGAAGATGTGGAAGGAAATTGGGAGGATGAGCGGAAAGGAAGCAGAAAGTTGCCTGTGTCCCCAGAGGATTGTGGCAGCTATAAAACCAGCAAAGCCAAGACCTCCAGTGAAGAGAAGGTACGTTGTGGGCAGGTTTTGTATAAAATAATACTTTTCAGATGCAATTTGCACCCTTCACATAACGTTTCACGTAAAATTTGCGGTTTGCAAGGCATTGAAAATTGCACTGATCAAGACATGCTAAGTCCTGTCACAGAGCCCAAAAGCCACATTGCACTGGTGAATGGGGGACAGTTGTATGCTGTGTATTACCTGATGCATTGGAGATAGAGCAATGCCTTGAAGCATGAGCATTGGTAAATCTTGAAGTGTACATGGAGATTTTTGTTATGATTTTGTCACTCTTGTTTCAGCCAGCAGAATGATAGTAGCTAGTAATGGAAAAGACCATTTATCCCATTTCCAACCGAAGAGAGGATTATGCATCTTTGAATACAGATGTTACATTTGGGGACCAAGCATATATTCAAAGACTTGCATAATTCCTGTTGATTTCTGGAGGAGTTGTGCACTTAAATAACTTTGATAATTGGGATCTTGATTTGAATTAATTCTAAGTGATAAGTTGTTGCATGTTTCTTTTTTGGATGGTATTCAAATACCTCCTTTAGCATAATATTATAACTATGGGCGTTGCATTATAATTGTTAAAAGTCCCAGTGATTAGAAATAAATCTACAGTATACCTAATAACCCCATTTCTTACATTTAAATAAAAGATGCTTTCAGTATTTATAATGTACCGCCTTACTTTCTTGTTTTTGTTTTTTGATAAGAGTCTTTGCCATAACACTACGAAGTATGTACCCCCTTCAGTGAGAAGAGCTGATGAAGTAATGGATGACAAAAAGAGGGAAGAACTGGGAAGACTAAAGAAAACAGTGAAAGGACTAATTAACAGGTAATGTAACTCATGAAAGTTGTTTGATTATTAGGCTGTGTTTACTGCAGCCACCACTCAAGCCAGAGAAGGAGTAGGTCTGACTTTGTTCTTGCAAACCAATGTTTTTAAGTAAAAGTCCAATTTTATGTATGCTATCCTTGATCGTATCTTTTATTCTTAATTGTTTTGGAGAAAGTACATTTATAGAAGTTGAAAAATCTGTTTAAAGACCATATGTATTCATTAGTAAGCAAATTTAAAACTTTGAGCTGAATTCCGCAAACACTACTTACTAGGAGTTGTAGGCTAGACAATTCTTTAGACATCAGTGGGACCAGATGTGGCTTAAAACGGGTGGAGAACCTGCGGCCTCAGCTTGCCTGGATCCATCCCCCAAGACTTGGGGCTTCCCCACGCCCCTCTCCCCTCCCCCACCCCCTGCTATCCCACCATGGGGCTGGAGTACACAAAATCTACTTGCCTGGGTGGTCGGGGCCCCTGACCCAAAAAAGGTTCCCCACCCCTGGTTTTAAAAAAAAGTTTGTAGGATTAGGCCCTTAAATTGAACAATCTGCACATAAAAAAGTACAAGTACTAAAAAATTCTATTTTAGTGTATCTAAGGAAAACTGCTGAGCCCTGCATCTAAGGAAAAGTGTATCTTATACTACAGAAGAGCAGGTTTACAGTAATAATATTAGTGTATATTTATTTGTGGCTTTAATTTTAGTCTGTGCCAGTGGTATTCAGACTAGTACACAGGCTATGGTTCCATTGTGATGCATAATCAGAATTTATAATAGTTATACTGATTTAAATTGCAAGCATGAGGTTGAGAACTTTGGGATTTTAGATATAATATATTAAGTTCTGAGAATCAGTGCTTAGCAGACATTCTGCACATCATCAACCTTTTGCAAATACTGTTACTTTGTGTTTATATGTAGAATATCTCCTACGACGATATTAAATAAATACTTATATTTTTGAATTATTTTGATGAACAGGAAAGATCCAAAATCTATTTAAGATATTTGTCCCTTTTTTTCTTTTTGAGCTATTAGTTGAATAAAAGATTTAAAATAACATGTTTTTTATTAAAAGCAATATTCAATTTAAAAAAATTTACTGAGGAAAAAATGGAAAGCTAAAGCACACACTGAATATTATTTCCCAATAGGTTGAGTGAACCAAATTTGGCCTCCATAAGTGGACAGTTGGAAGAGCTATACATGGCTAACAGTAGAAAGGACATGAATGAAACCCTAACAGATGTTCTTATGAATGCTTGTGTTACTGCAGCCATGATGCCTGTTAGATTGATGATGGAGCATGTCCTTTTGGTCAGCATTCTTCATCATACAGTGGGAATTGAGGTAACTTTTTTCTTGTGCTTTTTTAAATTTTCTAATCACATTACATAACATTTTCCATGGTGCTTTAATCTAGGTTCTTTTTTGTGTGAGATTTCTGAAATTGTTATAAAGTATACTGCATTCCTGAAATCATGACTTTTATATGGCCGTCAGAGCTGACTTGTGGTTGCAGTTACGGTTTAATAGGCAGGCACTCACAAGTGACAAGCACTTGCACTTGTTACTGAATCTGAATTGAGAGTTTTCTTCTATAAGTTGATGGTCACCTATGTAAAGTGTAACTTATCTCATTGAGACCATCAATGCCTTATATTCCTCCTTGTGTCTGTCTGTAGTGTAAATTTCTTAAAGCTACTGTTTTTTCCATCTCTAATTACCATGGTTCAGTCCTGATCTGCAACTATTTTAGAGCAGCAGTTCTCAAACTTTTTGGGCTCTGGAGCCCTTTACATGCGTAAAAATTTATGCAGAGCCCCAGCAGTCCCCTGATTGTATGTATTGTACCTATCGATGTTTCCAGTTTGTCAACCTCGCGGAGTCCCTGGAGATGTCTCGCGGAGCACAGTTTGAGAAACACTGCTTTAGAGCATTATTCTTGAGTCTTGAATATCCAACTACAGAATTCATTAAAACCATTATAAAGTGTAAAAAAAATCCACCTACAGCTGTGGTGCCCTGATCTTAAATGCACTTACACATGTATGTAAGTAGCCCCATTGAAGTTAATGGGTTAGCTTGCAGCTATGAGTGTTTGCAGGATTGGGGCATTTGGTACACATCAAGCAACTTTCTGAGGGTTTGTTATATTTTCAAGCTTGATAATAGGTTAAAATAAACTTTAATCTTTGTCTAATATGAAGAACGTGGTAGAACTGGTTACATCAAAGAAAAGTTATTATAAGAGTTTAGGCATACTAGAGTTGCGACAGACTTCAGAATCTAATCGGGACTACTTAAAATGCACTATTAAGCACTCAAGTTTGTTTTTTGAAAAAGATATGCTATTAAATGCACAAAATTGTGATAAGGTACTATTAAGGTTGCAGTTAGAATTGATTCAGAAAATGCAAAAGTTAAGGTCCTGTAGCAATATTTATATATCTGTGCAGTGTATACATCATAGTCGTGTTTTTTTCTTTTGAACATGCATCTTGATATATTAGTGTGCCAGAAAATGTATGTCTTAACTCACTCTGGAAGTATAATGCAACCTATTCAGCACTGCTTTTCGAACCTTAACTTTTACATATTTCCTGACTGATTTTTAACTGCAACATTAATATTATAAAGTCATTTTTTGTAATTGCGTAACTCGTTTTTTTTTTTAAATTGAATATTTGACAAGTGGTAAGTCCACAATTTAAACTCTTATTTTTGTCTCACTTTTTTGTAGGCTGTTTTCTATAGATAAATTTAAAGAGGTCCTATCATTTTCTTGGTAGTTTTTTTCCATATTATATTTATCTGGCAGTTGGCTCTGAGTCTTATCTTCCGTATGAAGTTGACAAGCAGTAGTGCTAAGTATACAATCAGGAGCAAGAAAAAAGTGTTTTTCTTTATCAGGCATTTATTTCCTGGCCAATAATGTTTTTAATCTAAAATGTGATGTGTTTCTTATATACAGTTTATTTTTGTATGGCACATAAGTTGTATCCTAGAGTGCAAATAACTAGGCGTAATAATGAATAGCATTAGTCTGGCAGCTGGGAGCATAGTAATCTATGTTGCAGAGAGAAATGTTTCCAGTTTCCTTTGTTTCATATATCTTTTCTAGTAAGTCATTATCTTGATTTTATCAAACGCACTTTTACTATCAAATAAAGGTATAAAAAATAACTGATTCCATGTGTAAATATATGTGAAATGACACCAGGCAAATATGTTTCTTAAAAAATAAGTATGACATTAATAGCTAAGAGTCCTTTAGAATATAGAAAATCAAAGTTGGCTGATGGGAACAACAGTTTCCCTATAAGTTAACTTTTGTTATACTTGTTTCTCTTTGCTTATGCTTTTTCCCAGTAAAATTGGGGTGGGGGATTGGAATTTACGTATGCAAAATGCTTAAGCGCTTTCTGATATTCCATTTTTTTATATAACTTTTGCCAGGTTGGTGCTCACTTTTTGGAAGTTGTGGTGAGGAAATTTGATGAATTCTATAGAAGTGATGCTGAAGGGAAAGAATGCGATAACCTGTTTGCCTTGATTGGCCATCTATATAATTTTCATGTAGTTCATTCGCTGCTGATCTTTGACATTCTCAAGATGCTTGTTAGCACTTTTACAGAAAAGGACATTGAACTGATTCTGCTCCTCCTGAAAAATGTTGGCTTTTCCTTAAGAAAAGATGATGCTTTGGCCCTGAAGGATCTCATTAGTGAGGCACAGAACAAAGCAAATGCCGTGGGGAAAAAATTTCAGGACCAATCTAGGGTATGTATGCATTTTGGATATGTTTGGGCACAAACTTCCCAGTATGAACAGAATTCATCACAGACTTGTTAAATCTCTTAATTTGCCAGGGTTTTTTTAACATTTTTGTATTAAATTTATCTACTAAAATTATTTCACGCTGAAGTCTGATTAGATCTTAAAATAGTGTTGGCATCCAATTAGATTATTGTTGCATTAGTTTAACATATCGAAAATAATGTGCACTTAGAAGTTTCTCAGAGCATAGACACCAGCATCCCTTGGAATAGCTTGTGTGTTATGCAAATGATGATGTAGCTGATTAATAAAATAATAGTTTGTATGCTTAAGTCCAAAATAATTAAACAGCTGAGATATTGTTTGGCAAAATTAGATTTCAGTTTAACATTAGTACAAATACATGTAGTGCGAATTTAATTGAATATTGTTTTTAGCTAGTATTCTTTATTTGCAAAGACATAATCTAGATTCCAGAATGTATTGCCAGGTGAGATGCTTGTGCATGCACAGTAATACATTCCAGATAATTTTTTTCACTTTTTAAATAACATTTTTCTAGCACATCTGCCATACTATTGTTTCTTTTACCCATAGGTTCGCTTTATGCTAGAGACTATGCTGGCACTAAAAAACAATGATATGCGGAAAATCCCAGGTTATGACCCGGAGCCAGTTGAGAAGCTGCGCAAGCTGCAGAGAACACTGGTAAAAATATTTTTTAGTATGTTAGGAGAAGTTACAGTGCTCACTAACATACACTTAGAAATAATAATACTTTTTAAGCTACTGGTAGTATACTGCAGAATAGATAACCTGCTAATATCACTTGGAGATATTCAACCTACACTCTTACACAAATTGCCATTTCATGATACATTGTAAAAAGTGCCTTTTTGTCCCCAAGAATTCAAAATTATTTTACAGACTGTATTCAAAGAACATCACAAAAGTGCCAGCCATCTCTGGATGTTAGTCAGTGATGAACGCTGCAAAACATTTAGACAGAAAAAAATTTTTATCCAAGGATACTGAGACACATCCCTGTGTTTACAGACAATCCTGTGGGATCTTTTGATGTTTGTGCAGAGCAGACAAGACATCATCACTGGAG